TAGCCTTTGTGAAGGAAACACAGTTGTAACTGTTCTGTCTAGGAATTCTGTATGTGTTTTCTTCTCAAAGCTGATGGGAGTGTAGAAATCAAACATTTACGTTAACTGTTCCACCGTGTTGAGCATGGAAACTTTTGAGAAAGAGAGGGCCTAAGATGAGACCTGGCTTTTCAAAGAAAATGAGTGTCAGTCATTCAGACAGTGTTTTGACAGAACTATTGCACTGATCCCAATGCTAGAATAGCACTATAGTCAGCAGTGACTAATGCTATATTTTGACATGTGTAGATACTGTTTTCTTCCTCCCTCATTCTCCTCTCTTTCACATTGGCCTCTGACTTCCCTCCTTTTATTTTTCTTTTTTTGAAACATGAGAGTATGTTTTCAGTTGGTTGACCAAATAGGTGACAAATTCAAGAATGAGCTATTGTTAGTTACCAAAGTCCATAGAGGTTGACTAGATGGCCCATTTTTTAACCAAACTGAAGAATCAAATTAAGGTACAAGTGATATCTCTAATATATGTTTCATTTTAGGGATTTTTTTTCGTTATTGTTGTTACTGGCTTTAATTGTCTATCTACTTTCTTAGACTAATGGGAAAAAAAAACTTGCAAATGAAACCAACCATTTTCCTCTGAATGTAACACCCAAGTGGCTCATTTGCATCTCGGAGCCATTTTGTTTTATTTATGTCACAGTTTGAAGAACTTGCTGGATCCTGTTATTGCTCTGGGAAGAAGTGGTTGGATTTCTTTCTAAGTGTGGCTACTGATTTTTTGACAGTGTTTAAAATATTAAAAGTTATAAATCTGCATGCAGTGGAACCACTTCACCATAATCTGTAGGTACGTGGGAAGGTATTGGCTGGGTGTAAGAGGAAGTCCTGGAGTTGGCTTGCTGGTGTTCAGTAAACAGATCCACACTGTTTGGGGAAAGGACTGTCACCAAATAGAACCTACATATGATAGAAGTATTCAAACAAACTTTAGGAAATATTACACTGTTTTTAAAAATATTTTTGTCACAAATCAAATGTCAGCCGTAAGTGCAGTGTTTATACAGTGCTGCTGTTGCTGTGTGATGTAACACATAAAAAATGTATACAAGTGCTGATATATTTGGGCCATTTATTTGAAGGATACTTTTTTAACATTCACAAGTCAACAAGTCCAGTTAGAAAGTTCCATCTGCTCTATCTCTTACTGCTTCTGGTTTATTTTTTGGCTATCCCCCTGTTGTCATCTCAGACCAAACCTTCTGATTTTCTTCTAAATTGTAGCCATACCCTACCTGTCTCTCCTGGAACACTTTTCCTCTTTCCATCATCTTCTTCCGCCAGGATGTTCAGAGAAAGAAATGAGTGAAATGGAACCTGAGTAGGGTATAGCCTTTTATAGTTATGGGAGAGGTTGGGGAAGGAAACTGAAAACCAGTTCACTAAAAGAAAAATCAAATTGCTAAATTTGACCACCACATCTAAAATGGCAAATTGGACACTTCTCACCAGCTCTAGGACCATTGCCTTGGAGGCAGGTAGGGGAAGAATGTCTAAATAGAGAGGATGATATATAGTGGGTATTACATTGAAAAGAAATCCCATTGATTCAAGTATTCATAGTTCTGAGAGTTCTCATTCTGAAATGTGAAATGCAACTGGAATGGGTTTCAGCCTGGGTAGATAGAATAATTAAGTGTATGTCCAGAGTGAAGCAGCTGTAGCAGAATCTCGGTGAAAATAAACAAAAATGATCTCTTCCCCCAAATCTTCAGGTATCAGGCAGGTATCTTATTTTACAAAAGTTTTTTAATGCATGTATTTAACCATAGACAAATCCTACGGTCTCCAGTTTTCAAATGTGTAGTTGTAGTAGCATTTTTCTGTGTTCTCATTCTCTACCTTTGTCTTTTTCTTAATATTCCTTTTTTATTTTAGACCTAATCAAGTTTAGAGGAGTTGTTTCCTTTGGCCTAGCTGTCCTAGTAATTGCAAGCTCTCCTGTCTCTTAGACTATTCAGATTTCACATTTGAATCACTAAAGAGTCTGTCAAACATGTTTATAGTTCCAGCTATCCATTTCCCCACTGGCTTCTGGGCAAGCCTGTGAAGCTATCAAAACTTCCCATGCATGCTCTGGAAAATGCCAGAAGCCTTCTTGTTGAAAGTCTCTCCCATCTACACAAATTGTGCATTGCTTGTCATTGTCCAGCCCTTCCTTCTTGGGTCTAAGAACCTCATCTCTGAGATGAAAGGTCTTGAATAGCTCCTTGCCTGTATCTATCCTGAGAAAAGAACATCTTCCGGGCTGAAAATAGGCAGAAAAGGGCTTCCTAGCCTGGCAACTATGAATTCTAGAGACATACTTAACTCCACTCAAAGTTGTATCCCAGCTTACAGAAGAACAGGCTGCAGTCTGCTCGTTCATCTTTTCTTCGTTTCCAAGTGTGGCTTTTGCACTGTGTGTGATCGTAGGAAAGCCAGGCAGCTCCGTCTGAGAGCATTAGAAGAGTTTCCCACAAGGGATGACATTTCCTAAGTGATATTTTTCACAAAGACACAGCTTGTAAGCTTGAAATGTGCCACGTTGCTCTTTCAACTACACATCAATTAAATATGTGGCTTGGTACTTTGCTAGTAAAAGTGGGAGTGTTTAATCAATTGATCCTAATTCTGGCCCCTCTGTGGTCTTCGGAATGCATCTGTATCTCCATCCGCCAGAAGGAAGGAAATGCCAATTAACCCATATGGAGAGTGGAGTCTATTATTAATGGCACTGTGATTTTCCCAGCTGAAGGAATAAACTACAAACTCTTAGCTTTCAATGACAAGGACTAAAGCATTGAACAATGATCTTTGAAATGTTGTCAATGAAAAATTTACCCTGTATAGTGTCTGGCAGCTGTGTAATGATTCTCTAAGCTGACCGCGTTTCCTCATGGCTACCAAGTGAATGGTCTAACTATTGGAGGTATGGCTTACCGAAGAGTGCTGTCTTATGAAACACAATGGCCCCATTAGCCATGAAGTCCTTAAGTTTTCAGGCAAAAATCTAAGTCGACCAGTTATGTGGACTAGTGTATCTCAAATGCCTGCATTTAGGATCACTGAAGTAGCTGGAAACTCATTGTCCTATTACTCTGTAACTCTTTTTCACTGACTTCTGATTTTGTTAGTCTAGTTCTATGTATTACACTGTGCACATTACAGATGTTTCCCTGGCTTTTCCAAGTCATTTTCTCTCGATTCACCTGTGGATTAGAGATGGCCTCTTAGAACTATCCTAACAAATCTGTTTGTTGAGCATGAGCTGTGTGCCAGACACTTACAGGTATTTTTACCTGTGTATCTCATTTAATTTAATTCAAATGTTCATGATTAGCCCTTCAGAGGAATGTGGGAAAATGATGTTTTCTGGGAGCTGGGAAGGTGGTTCAGTGGTAGAATGCTTGCCTCACATGCATGAGCCCTGGATTCGATTCCTCAGCACCACATAAGCAGAAAAAGCTGGAAGTGGTGCTGTGGCTCAAGTGGTAGAGCGCTAGCCTTGAGCTGAAGAGCTGAGGGACAGTGCCCAGGCCCAGAGTTCAGCCCCGTGACAGACAAAAAAAATAATAATAATGTTTTTCTGGTAAGAACAAGTTGAGGACAATGAAAAACACTCTCTTTTCAGTCCTAGGCCAGTTTTTCCTTCATCCTCTGAACACATGTGGCTGGAGTCCTACAGAATTATTTCTGTTTCTGGTGGTAGTTATGCTCTTGGTACATAGTATTTGGATGTACTTTTCAGCCCATTTTTCATTGTCAGCCACATCCCTGTACTCGGAAATGGACTTTGTCATAGAAGTGCTGGATCTGGGTTGTTGTCTCTGATAGAAATTCAGTACCTACTTAATTTCTTAGAAAGTACCTAGAGGAGAAAGAGGTCTTTGGGTTTTCTCTTTCAGTGGTATCATAATTACTTTCATCATGACTAAACTTTTTTCAGTTGTTTCTTTCTGTGGGCCTTAAACAATAAACCATCTCAAATGAAGGATTCATTTGTTCTTGTTGCTTTTTCATTATGAATCCTAGGTATGCAACCTTCGCCAAGTGTTTTAGAAATGTTCTCCATAAAGCCATGTAAACTGGCAATTTCATCTTAAGCTTTGTTTTTGTTCTTTTTTGGTGGGGGGGGGGGGTGAGGGGAGAAATACTGAGATTTGAATTTGATGCCTTCCACCTACCCATACCTGCCAACCTTTTTGCTCTACTTATTTCTCAGATAAGTTACTGTACTTTTTGTTCGAGGTTGACCTCAGGCTATAGCCCTTCCATTTCTGCCTCCCATGTTGCGGGAATGACAAATGCGTATCACCGCTCTCTGCCTGTTTGTCAAGATGAGATGTCACTAATTATTTGTTTTGACTGGTCTGGAACTAATGAGTCCCCCAATCTCTGCCTCCCAAGTAGCTTGGATTACAAGCATGTGTGCCACCATGACAGCCTCTATTTTGTACATCTTTAGCACTCTAATTTGTCTTACTTGTATAGCAAATGAATTGTGGAAGTAATTAGTAGCCATGGTATATTTAATGTAGCTGAAAAAAAATGAGATACTACTTAGTAATACATAGCTAATTTTAATGTAAGCTATTTATTAAGAGGAGACTTAAAAAAAACAACAGGATTATAATGGAATTCTCCAAGAAAGCATAGCTGTAACTATGCAACCAACCTTAGGTGACAAATACATGTGAACTTTACTGCAAGAACTATTTCCAGTAGGTGAAGGTGGGATGAAGCAGGGAGTCCCAGTGAAAGTGTAAAGGGCTGTGGGCCGTCACCTACCACATGTCACTCGGGGCTTTGTGAGAATAGATGCTGAGTTTGGCAGGATGATAAGCAAGGTTGTATCTCTAATTGATTGACTCTCTTACTCAGTTTATATCTTTCACTCATGCAGACAGAATGTTGTTTGTACCCTATATTCTGATTTCAGTATTCTTTCTTTTTTTCTCCAGAAATCACTCCTGTTTAGAGCATTTCCTGGTGGTGCTATTCAAAAATGTCTTCCTTAAGTGGGAAAGTGCAAACTGTTTTGGGGCTTGTGGAGCCAAGCAAACTGGGCCGCACCCTGACCCATGAACACTTGACAATGACCTTTGACTGTGTTTACTGTCCACCTCCTCCATGCCATGAAGCTACCTCTAAGGAACCTATCACGATGAAAAATCTATTTTGGATCCAGAAAAATCCATATTCCCATAAAGAGAACCTTTGGTTGAATCAGGAAACAGAAGCTGTAAAGGAAGAGTTGTTGTATTTCAAGGCTAAAGGTGGTGGGGCCTTGGTGGAGAACACAACCACGGGAATTAGCAGGGATGTGAAGATGTTGAAGTGGCTGGCAGAGCAGACTGGAGTCCACATCATATCTGGAGCTGGGTTCTATGTGGATGCAACCCACTCTTCAGAGACCAGGGCCATGTCAGTGGAGCAGGTAAAAACTCCCATTCTTTGACAATATTTGTGTGTAAATTCACAATAGTCCAATCCCTGGACATACCATTGGCTTATTTTAGCTGGTTATAAGTCTTACAGCTTAATCCTTGCTACTCAGGAGACTGAGATCTGATGTTCATGGTTAGAAGCCAGCCTGGGCAGGAAAGACTATGAGATTCTGATTTCCAGTTAACTAACAAAAATCCAGAAATGGACCTGTGGTTCAAGTGGCAGAACATGAGCTTTGAGCAAAATAGCTAAAGGACAGCACCTAGGTCCTGAGTTGACGTCACAGTACAAGCATGTACCACACACACACACACACACACACACATATACACACACACAAAATAGTTGGTCATATTATGCAATTTTGCAACATAGCAAAGCTTCTACCAATCTAGATTCGAATTAATAATATTTTATTTAATAAGGAAAAATATTTTGAGGAAGGTTATTGGCCAACCTGATGCATTAATACTTAGATCTGCTATATTGTATGGTCCTCAGTATTGGCACCCCAGTCTGTAAACCTCACTTTTTTCTTCCATGATAAGATTTAGTTATGTAACTTTGATTTCTTTTTCTAAGATTTTTATAATAACCAGCGATGAGAATTTCACTGTAGGGTGAAACTTGGCAGGCAGAGACTTGGCACTTTTGCAAATATGTTTCCTTCTCTTTTTACAAAAACAGGAGGGGTAGAAGCACATCCATTTTCCTGTTTTTGTAATAATATGGTCTTAAGCAAGAATGGGCAGAAGGAAGAAACTTTTATAGACAAAGAGACAGAATAAGCAGCAAGGCATTTTTTTTGCATGTACATGTTCCCTTTTTGAGCACACAGGTATCTGTTTACAGATGTTTATACAGACACACATATATTTCTATGTGTCTTCTTTGCCTGCGTTGTTTGATACAATGTCAGCTGAAGTCTTTGCAAATGATCACTTACTATTTAAAATAATTTATATCCAAATTCCATCTGTATTCTTTTCTGAGAAGGATTTTATTTATTTTTAGTATATTTATATTAGTTGAAGACTAAAATGATGACAAGGATTATGCATTTGTCAAACAACATTTAGTAGTTACCAAACTGTATAATGCTTTTATTGTGTGCTGTGAATGTTCTATTCTGAATAATGAATTCAAAATAAGAGAGAACTGAAGGCTGGGCACCTGTACCTCATGCCTGTAATCCTAGCTAATTTGGGAGGCTGAAATTAGGGGATTCCAGTTCAAGGCCAGCCTGGGGAGAAAAGTTCTGGAGACCTCTTCTCAATGCACAGATGGGAACAATGTCATCTTCCTGTCATTCTAACCTGTGTGGAGGCTGAGATTGGAAGGATAATGGTTCCAGGACATCCCACGCCAAAAAGCCTATGAAACTCTGCTTTAGTGGAGGAAGATAGACATGGTGGTGTCCCCTGTGATTCCAGTAACTACAGGAAAACCAAAATAGGTAGATCACAATCCAGACACATACCCAGGCAAGGAGCAAGACCGTATCTTCAAAATAACCAAGAAAATCAGTCTAGAGATATACCTCAGAAGTACAGCACCTGCCTAGAGGGGGTGAGGCTCTGAGTTGAGACACCAGTACCTATCCCCCTAAAAAATTAATTACTTGATACACATATATTCGTTGATATATACATCAGTTCAGTGGCATTCATAGATTCTGCTCACTGATTGTGGATTTGTCCCCTCAATCTAAATGTACCAAAGAGGTGAATTTCCTACTACATAATAATAATATGATTTTAAAACTTGGACTTAAAATAACTTGCTGAATATGTGATTTGATCAGCAAAATGCCTTTCTCATGGGCCAGTATGCCATAAATGAGTATTGAATATACCTTTAAAAGAATACATGACTAAATAAATTCATTCATGCACTAGGGTGATTAACTTGGGGGGGGGGGCTTAAACTCAGGGCCTGGACACCGTCTCTTAGCTTGCTTTTTCAAGGTTGGTGCTCTACCACTTGAGACCACAACTCCACATTTTTTGTAGTAGTTGACTGAGATAAGAGTCTTAAGAACTTTGTTGCTCAGGCTAGCTTTGAATCTATCTTTACTTCCTGAGTAGTTAGGATCACAGGTGTGAGCCACCAGCATTGGGCTTAAGTGAATTAATTTTGATAACTTCCATGACTTATAAAATAATTTCTTTTTCCTGTTTTCCCCTAGCTTACCGATGTCCTTATTAGTGAAATTCTCCATGGTGCTGATGGAACCAGTATCAAGTGTGGTGTTATTGGGGAAATTGGTTGCTCCTGGCCTTTGACAGACAGTGAAAGAAAAGTTCTTCAGGCAACAGCGCATGCCCAGGCTCAGCTTGGCTGTCCTGTGATCATCCATCCCGGCCGGAATCCAAGTTCACCATTCCAGATCATCCGCATATTGCAAGAGGCAGGTGCAGATATCTCCAAGACAGTGATGTCTCACCTTGATAGGTAAGTAGGCTATCTTAGACTCTTCTGTGACTGTATAATTCATAGTTAATCAAATTTTGGAAACATCAGAAATGAGAGCAATGAAATACTGATCATCCAGGGAAACTCATTAGCAATCTAGAAAGGTTTGATAAGTAGCATAAGTAAAGGTTTGATAAATAGCAAAGCTTGATAAGTAGCATAAGTAAAAGTCAATGCTTTATTCTTGTATCTTTCCTTTGTATAGATGATATCCTACATATTTTGCATAGGAATTTTCTTTAACTTAATCTTTCATAACTCTTCATAATAGATACCATTGTCTACTTTGTTTCATGGAAGCATATCACAGTAGCTTCCTCAGTATTTGTAAATAACTGGGATGAAAAATATATCTACAAATAGAACAGAGTGGTAATGAATGAAAAAAAAAACAAACCACAAATGCTTCCATTTCTTTTCCTTTTCTTTTCTGTTATCTTTAAGTAGTTGTACGGAGGAGGTGCCATCTAACAAAGCAGTTTATGAATACAACACATCTTTATCACTGTCGCCCCTTCAACATTCTCAACACTTCAGCCCACCTCTTTCCTTATCTTTCTTAATTTTATGGTATATACAATGAATTCTTCTTGCATTCTCTTCCTTCTACTCCCTTCACCATAGCCGTGATATAGAATGAGACCATATGCTCCTCACTGGATGAATGGATCAAGAAAATGTGGTATTGTATACACAGTGGAATTTTAACTCATCTATTAGAAAGAATTATGTGTACCATTCACAAGGAAATTGAGTGACTTGGAAAAAATTGTAAGTGAAACCCAGAGAAACAGATTCCATGGTTTCCCTCATCTGTGGTAGATAGAATGTGCATATAAATCTATACGTAAACACATTGGGTGGTATGCAAATGATTAAAAATGAATTAACTGGAGTATAATAGACTTGATGGAGAGTATAATAGACTTGATCATTTAGAAAGACTAGGTCAAAGCCCAAAGAAGTTAGCACCAGGAAATGGGTATCCTGAAGAAGAGGGGTGGGCCAAGGAGCAAGGGTAGATAAATACTTACATTTCTATCTCCTGTTTGTGGTTTGAGTCATCTGAATTTTAATTATAATAATAGCAAGTGTACTTTGTCTGGTAGTGTCGTACATTTGATTGTTATACCTGCTGTAACAAATTACAGCACATCAGGTGCCCAGGATCAACAGAGCTTTTCATTCTCTCATTCCCCATTCTAAAGGTAGACATCTGAAACCAATGTATTGACAGGATGGTACTGCCTCCGGAAGCTATTCGGGAGAGCCCTTTGCTGTTTCCATTTTCTGGCAGATCCAGGGACTCTTGCTGTAACCACATAGATGACATTTCTGCCTCTGTTCTCACATTGCTTTCTTCTTTATGTCTGTGTCTTTTGTTACTAAAGGCATGTCACTGTATTCAAGGACCCTCAGCTAGTCCGGAATGATCAGAGTCAATGATCCTAAACTTAATAACATCTAAAAAGAATCCCTTTCCCAAATAAAGTCACTTTCTGAAGTTGCGAGGGTTAGAACATAGACATGTGTTTTAGAGGTCCAACATGCAGCCTTCTACATAGCAAATTAGGAGCAAACCTAACAGTGTTGCCAAGACTAGTTCTAGGGCCTCCTGTTAAATTTATATTAAAAAAAATTTAATACAGTGCCAATGAGACTAATAATACTAATATTACAATCACATGTGTTTTGCACTTTGGAATAAGTCCATGTTAGCAGATTGATAAATCCCGATCATCAATCTTGACATTTTGATATTTAACAAACGAACAGACCTAAAAAAGTCTTCATAAAATTCCTTGACTTAATAGAAATATTGTAAAATCCCATGCAGAAAAAAATAAACAAGTTATAGTCATGGCAAAACAGAAAATCCAACATCAGTGGAGAAAGTGAGAAGTGTTGAGGTACAAACAACCCTCCTGACAATGGACTGTCTTCAGGAATCTTCTGGTAGGTACTCATACAATAAAAGGGGTCACAGAATAATATGCCATAACTGAAAGACTCGAATTTTTGGACCCAGCGAAACCTTTAAATCCTGACTTTAGCATTTGCTGTGAGATCTTAGGTGCCTTTATTTGAACTTAAAATAATGTATTTTCCTGTGATTTTGTACAACTCTAGTCTTAGATATTTGGAATACTGAGTCTCAAGGATTGTTGGAGCCCAGAAGTTTGAGACCAGCCTGGACAATGTTGTGAGATCCCTATCTCAAAGTCGAAACAAAATAAATAACTAAATAAAATAATATATTTGATCATGTTACCTTGTGCGATGCAAGCTTTATCCTAGTTAATAAGTATGGTTCTTGCTAAACATTGAGAAGAGCATAAATTTTCTAGCTGTTTCATAGATTCTGGGAAAATGTGTACTGCAGTTATTGTATCTTCTCTGTATGTTCATTAATCTGTAATTGTCAGCCATGCTGTTTACATATTCTATATCCCCACTGGTTTATATGGTATGCATAGCTTGATCTATTGATTACTTAGAAAACTGTATCGAAATCTGCTTACTACTGGCACATATTTCCACTGTTGCCGAATACAGTTGGCAATGACATCATTGCATACCTATGAATCATTATTATTCTAAATTCTGTATTATCATATATTGAATAGCTTTGTGTTTGGTAAGCAATGCTTTTTGTTTCAGTCCTATAAGGTCTTCAAAGGAGAACTAATACCAATCTTCCTCAAGCTCTTCAGTGAAATAGAAAGGGAAGGATCACTATCAAACTCATCTATGAATCCACCATTACACACACATCCCCAAACCAGTTAGGGACGCATCAAAGAAACAGAACAATAGAGTTATCTCTTTGATGAGCATCGATGTAAAACTCCTCAATAAAATTTTGGCCAACCAATTTCAACAACTGACAAAAAAAAACATGCACTATTATCAAAGTCTGTGTTATCAGCTGTACTATAACAATAAGTTGTGGTGTTAGTATCCCACATGTCCTTTCCCTGTGTTACCCTTTCTACCTTTCAGAATCTTTACGTTCAAGATCCATTGGGTGTAAGGTTTGGTATAATGGAATGGCAAAGGGCAAACAGAGAGTGTAAAGGAGGGTGAATATATCAAAATATTTTATGTACACGTTGACAGTGGAAAGCTTGTTGAAATGGTTTTGAGTAGAGAGTAGAGGATGATAAAGAATGATGGAAAGAGGTGAGTCTAATGCAGACATGTCAAAAGAAACCCCTTCATACAACTCACTGAAGCTAACAGAAATGTACAAAAGACTAAAATAGGATTCTTCCTCTTTAATTTTACTCAGTATTTTGAAGTATTGTAATAGAAAGAGTTTCTGTGAACAGTTAGGCTGCCGTATTGCTTGAAACTGATATAAGATACATCTTTTAAAAAGTCTTTGTACCATTCCCTATTTGCACTTAGAAATATAAGTTCAGAAATAACACGTGCCATACATAGAAAATAAGTTTTCCTTGTAAAGGGTGAAATAAACCTTACTCCTACCACTGTAATATTTCCTGGCTCATAAAATCAAACAACATATAAAGCTGAAGTGTTTATTTTCTAGTGATATACCCTATATTCACACATATTTTGTGTAAATGTCACCTAGGTATATGTTATGTTGCATACACACATTTTTTTCTTTAAAATAATAAAAGTTGGAGATCATTTCAAGATGGCCTGTTAGGATGGATCAGAACTGAATGCAGTGGTTGACCTGACATAGACCAACTCAAATCACTAGAAAATCCGGAGACCCTTGCTAGAGCAGCCACCCATTGTACACCTAATAATGAATGCTCTGGGGTTCCAGTGCCTGAAAGAAAGAAATTCCTGAAAGTACCATTTCTAGGGGGAGGCTTCTAGGGAAAATGACTTTTAAAAAAAGTGATTCATTTGAGAAAACAAACGGAATAAAGTTAACAGGACAAATAATAAGGGAGACGAATGCAGGGAGCATTTGCCTTTTGAAGTGACTTTTTACAGGAAGCCAGTGGCCAGGCTGTGGTTGACGAGGGTGTCCTTTCACAGGCTGGGCTGTGCACAGGAGAGGGCAGGAACTTCAACACTTCCTTACTGAGGACAGCACACCCGAGGGTGTATTTCCTGCAACCAAATGCAAAGGACACACTAAAAGAAGAGCAGCCTGAAAACACAGCCTCTAAAAGCATTCAGAATAGAGTAGAAAGAATTCTGTTCTTGCCTCCATCCCTTTTGTGGATGTAGAAGAGAAGGAACCAAAGCGACAGGCTGCAGTGTGTGTGAAGATAAGTTGAGGGGTGGCCACTCTCCACCCATAGCCCTTTTGAAACAGAAGAGCTCTGCCACAGGACAATCTCTGAACATCAGTCACCTGCAAATTCTGTTTTTTACCCCCTTTCAAAGTTGGTTTTCTGTCCTTTCTGAGAACACAAAAATAAAGCATTTCATCATACCCACGATCATACTGAAGCAGTTCACTGTTTCTGAAGGCCTATAAAATCTTCATTAGGATTGACGTTTGTGCAGACCTGTGTGCACATGCACATGCACACACATATACACACACCACCACGTTAGCTTTCTGTATGGCTCTCCTCAAAGGGGCAGTTGGGATTCTGAGAGGAGAAAATTAATGAATGGCCTTCACCTTTGGAGCTTTCTGAACCACATTGTCCATGTGAGCGCTTGTGACCTGCTTAAGGTCATTTACGAGGTGATAACAGTTTGACAAGATAAATATGCTTCTGCGTCCAGGACCTCCCCTCACCATCTGTTCCCCTAAAGAAACATGGGCTCGTTGAAGAGTGGTTTGACTGCTGTGAATATGACCCTGTGGGACAGCACTGGGGTCTGCCCTTGACAGAAAGAGCCACCCAAAGTCCACATGCATTGGAAAATAGCAACCCACCCTTTGTATTCTTGTTTGGGCTTTTGATACACAAGGCTTTGCACCATGTACTCATTTATAATAATTTCACCACCTGTTAAAACTGTATGCATATTTC